GGGGGGGGGGGGGGGGGGCCTCCTATTTTGGGTTGGGCGTGGGGATCTTTGAAGGGTACTATCGATAACTTTCACCACGTTAAGTTCCAGCATGCGCTGCGCCCTGTATCAAACAGCTCTGTAACTCTGTACCTGTTGAGACGGGTGCAGGTGCTGTGTAGACCAGGGTGTTTAGACAAGTTTAGATCCAACCCGTGACAATCTTCAGCCCCAAAACGCAGCTTTGCCAGGCGCGGCTTCCTGGATATACACCTCCTTTTGTGGAGTTTGCCGAGGTGAGGTGTTGACTTTCAAAGTTCCACGTTCGTCGTGGCAGCCCACGGGATCTGATAGTGAGTATCTGATACGAGAAAAAGAATCATGTAAATTGTTCATGATTCTCCCTCCGCTGTACTTGCAGAAGAGAGATGTGGTCATCAATCATTCTAGGTGTCGTGCTGTCGTGGTTTCCTGGCTTGCTGGACTATACGTGTGTTCAATCCAGCGTACATCCAACGCATTATATTGCAGTTTATTATGCAAATAGTATCCTGCACGTGCGGGGAGGCGGATGTCACGCCTTCTCCCCCAAGTGCCGCCACTGGGCTCAGCTCGGCGAAGGCCTACGGTCAAGCATGTGAGGCATGTTCGGATCTCATCAAGTAGGGTTCAGAACCTTCGTTTCCAGCATGCAGGGATTCACGTCTGCCTTCTACTATGCCTGGTTGGGGTTTTGAACTGTCCTGAACGTTCTGGAGATAGAGATGGGGAGGCTTGTAGTGTTGTAGTTCAGGCTTGCCATGCCGTCCTGGAAGTGAGACCAAACCACCGCATGAGCAAATCGAGACGTTCTTCACAGGAGCGAGGTTAATCCACAAAAGAGAAGTTCGGGAAGACGGCAAGTCGCAAGTCGCAAAAGTCGCGGGGGCGGCCTCCGAAGCCTCCGAAGCGCGGGTTTCCTGGGACCTGCCGGAACCTGCCGGAACCTGCCAGGCGGCCCGTGGTGTCGCGGAGGAAAGGCATCCAAGTGTTCGGGCGTCGAGACTTTTTGGAGCGCAGAAAAGTTGTGCAAGGAAGGTTTCATTTTCAGTGTTTCGGGCTCTCTGCACTGAGGGCTTTCAGCCAGGATTGTAGGCCTAGGCCTGAGCAGCAACATGCAGTCTGATGCAGACAGCAGAGTCCGGGAAATCTGGACATCTTCCCCGTCTTTGGCAGCAGACTCTCCAGGATGTGCTGAGCCGCGGCCTGGAAGCAGCTGACCTCGAGACTGCGAAGCAGTGCCGCATGTAAACCAAACACTCCCAACCCTGCAGTCGTTGCGGGCGAAAATTTCAGGGGCCGGGGCAATCACGGGGCCCAGGCAGTGAGGCTCTGGGCTGATCATGCCTTGTAGGCCTTGAAAGTTTTTGCAGAATTCACTGTTCGCTGATGACCGTCTCTGAAGGGCAGGTCCAGGTAAAGCGAATTTACATTTTTTTCGGTTCGGTTCGGCTTGAGGAGCAGTTCGAGGATTGGGCTTTTGGCCTTGTGGAGGGCAACCGAGACGCGTCCTGCCGGTTGGTAAAGGCTTTGCCTTTCTAAAGCTGTCGTATGACGCGTAGTTGCTGTACTTAGCATGAACTCTCGCCGAATCTGCCCAGCCCCATACCGCGAAGCTAGTCAGACCTTAAAAGGCGAACTTCGTGTGCCCATGAAAGAGTATTGGACCCCAGCCACCATCTAGATTTGCTTCAGTTTGATTGGCAGGTACTTGAAGGCTGCTCTCGATCTCATGAAGGAACGGAATGAACCTTTCACATTTCTGTGGTTTTGTAGGGTTCAATGAGATACATCGAAGCCGCAGAGGAATTCCTAGCAAGAGCACATGCCTCGCCGTGAAGATTCTTGGACCAGATGCCCCACTGCGACAAAAGGATATGCGTTACTTCCTGGCGGTCGCCGAGAACAAGACCGATGAGGATACTCGGACACTGTCTCGTCTGATCATTCCCAGTAATCAGTAACCTCCGATTGTGAAATTTTCGATTCTTTGCATGTCAGCAAGAGGACTCGTCGACCTCGATGGGCAGCTTTGGTGCGCAGAGAAATGGCATGGCTTCAGGGCAGAGTTTGGATCCAGCCCTTAGATTTGAATTGACTGCGGTTCAGGAGCGCGCAGTCAGCTCTGAATTGCTGGGACGGATGAAGCTGTGGGTGATGCAGTGCAGTGGGTGCAAGAACGATGGGTGACTTCAGACCCGACTCTCTTCTACGAAAGGGTGTTGGCTTTGTTCTGATTAGGGTCCAGGGGGACAACAATGATGGTTTGTGTTCCTTTCAGGCATCGTGCGTCGCTCCACATCCGAAGGGTCGAGGAAGCCTCCGAAGGCAAGCAGCTCCGGCGTGCCGTCAGACATGCATACTGCCTGATAGGAGTGTACCGTCTTGTCCTTGCGCGACGCTGGGTTTGTTGTTTTGGGGGTGCGACTTCCATGTCCAATAAGCATAGTCTCAAAGGGACGCGAGCCCTGGTTTGACCCACGGAGGGTTTCAAAGGATGTCCTGCAACTGCACCTAATTTGCGGCTCTGCTTGATCTCAGCTTTTGACCGGTTCTCCATTGGTTGCTGCCCCGTTGGCTCGAAGCCACACTTTTACGTTTGTGTTGGCCCTGGTTCGAGGTGATACGCATGCGAAGGGAAATCCCGACACATCCGGCACCTCGTCTTGAACGTACACCCGACCTCGAACCGCTTCAATACGAAGCCCGGATTCTCTTCCGAGGAGTTATGGCATCCCTTCACTCCTTTCCAGATGTCTCCTGTCGATTCCAATGACTGGACCCGCATGCGGAAGGCGGGTTGGGAGTCGAAGCAAGGGGGTTTCCGGGGTTTAGTCGTGCCGGGGGTCTGAGGATGTCTGAGGTCGACTATGTGGGTGCTGGTAAATGGATGCAAGTTTCATATACTTGGCGTTCGGTTCTGCATTTCCTTTCGAGCTTCAACAGCTCAACTTCCGTCCGGTTTGGAAGCAAACGCGACAACACCAAGAAGGCGGAGTGCACGGCAATCTCGCAGTCAGTTCGCAGTCCTGTCCAGGGTACCTGGTGGCTTCGGCGTGGAGCCCGCTTTGATGCCATGAGGCCGCAGCACTGAGCACACTCACAAACCACGGATAAGGAGCCGCTGATCAGCCGGAAGAGATCCTTAAAGTGCCATGAAGAACCCCTCTGAGCTTTGCTCCTTTCGAGCTTCAACGTAGAGGCCAACTTGTGTTTGGGCAAGACGTTTCGTGAACTGTTGAAGGGCGGTCTGTGCATCCGGCCGGTCTCAATGATTCGGAAGCGTGCGAGATTTCTTTGCGCATTTTCCAAGTTCGCCCCGTTAAAATCCTTTAATCCAAGCGATTCCCGGAACACGCTCTCTCGATCCGCGAGCTCATGCAGTTTGTTTTGGAGATAGGATCTGGGGTTCTTGTGACGGACTTGGACATCAATGAGGGTTCGAGGTATGTTCCCCAAAATCTATGCGAGTGCAGCAAGCGAATGCTGCGCTGCGCCTAGGTAGAGGGTTTGCGTTTCTGCAATGTTCGGTCTACAGACTGACCTACAGACTCCTGCGAAGCTCGGGCACAGCCTCCTGCTCCCTTTTCTCGGCGCGCATGTTGAACAGGTACTGGTACCAGCCGGCGGCTTACCTCTCCTTCCGTTTAGGCACATCCCCTCTATGGAAGACGCGTGCTCTAAGCAGTGAGATGTTGCCGTTTGATGCTTGTCCAGGATCTAGCCTTGAGTCTTAAGAGAGTGGAAATGCCTGGTACCCTCGGACCGTTTCCAAACTCCTGAGTGCCTGAGGTACTCTGACTTTGCTCGGTTTCCAGGCAGGCATTCATGCAAGCAGTGAGTAGAAAGGAGCACCAGGAATTCAACACCTCGTCGGATCTTGCAGTTGACTTACACTTGCGACCCTGAGTCATACCCATCACGGAGACTTGGGTGCAGGAGTTTCCCTGTAAAATTCTTACACCCCGCACATGTCCCACAGGCACGGGCCTGTCTGGAAACCCGTTGCGAGAGGGCTAGTTTAGTTCTGTGGTGGAGTTGTTGTTACAGTGGGCCAGGGTGAGTTGTTCAAGATGGGAAGGTATCAACTGCTGCCATGAACACGTTACAAGCAGGTTGATGTCGCCAAAACATAATCCTGTGTCTTGGGCTCTAGCCCGCATCTCTGCGTAGACTGTCAGAAGCAGGCTAAAACAAAAAGAGTTCCTGTGGACTGTCAGCAAGCGCCGTTCTAGGCTCAATGTGTGCCACAGCCGGCCAGGAATCAACTACTTCGCCAACCTGCCAGATCTCCTGTGCCTGTCTCGCTCTCTGGACATGCACGATGCCAGTGCAAAGATGCGGCGCTACAACGCCCGGACCTCATGGGCAAATGCTACTGGATGGTGCCTTTTCCTTGCGTGGGGTCGGGGAAGAGGGCCCTTAGCATTGCCTCTCTCCAGTTCCGTGTTGTTTTAATGCGATGGGCGTGCGTCATGTGACGAGCTGTCGAGGCCCTCCAGCACGGCAAGAGTGGGCATGCCAGGTTCTTCAGAAAAGGCTTGTAACGATTGTAATGAAAGGAGCATGCATCTGGTCTTGCAGGCTCTTTGCGAGGGTATGCGAAGGGGTTAGTAGGTTCGATGCGAACTCTGCCCGTGAGACGGTGGGCACCACTGTCGAAATGTTGAGTTTCAGCAAAGCACATGTAACGAAGTGGTCGGAATACGTAGTGGTGCTATTCCTTAAGTTAAGGATCTTTCATAATATGAATAGTTCAATGATCGAATTATCTTGTTTCGCAGGTTCGTGCAGGCAGGGACAACCGGGAAGCGGATTGGGATCCTCTTGGGCCGACGCTTCCTTCGGCCTGTCGGCCAATAAAGTCCGGGGGCAGAAGCCTCAGGAATGTTTGGGGTAGGGATGGATTGTGTAGTACCCAATTTTATGCTTCGACTTGAAGCCAAGTCCTTCGCTCGAATTCTTCATTGGCCGTTCCCAATATCGTCCTAAACCTTCCCTGAGGAAGAGAGCCTCGTCCACTCTGTGAGCTTCTGGACTTATTCGCTTTCCAAGCTTCTCGCACAAAAGTCGATTGCTTCGAGCATGAATACCGTTAAGATATTCCGTTTGAGGCAGTTTGACTGAGGCTTTGAGGATTGAGAGTTTTGAACTTTATGATTTGGCGCTGGTGGGTTGAAGGTGTTTGCCATATTCAGATGCTCCGGATTTGCCCTTGCCGCGAGCCGAGCATGAAGCTGTGCTCTTTCATTTTCCGCAGCCCGTCAGCATGTCTTGAGTTTGCTTTTTGCCAGGGATTGCATGATTTCTAGAGACGTATTGACGAGATAAAGAAAGCGAGCAGGTATTCACACAGAGCTCCAACTCTAACACTTGCAAGCCGCCGAATATGGCGGTTTTCGGGATACAACAAGACCAGACGCTTTTACTTAGAGGCTTGATCAGTGCAGGCAAACGTGACTAGTTGCATTTCCTGCTTATTCCACAGCCCAGCACGGTGAAAAAGGAGCATCAACACTTCACCAGGCCTCAGGGGTCTACGGGTGCCATACGATTTGGAGCAGTCAGTAAGTAAGTGTTCGCACCACCGCAGCTGCCCACGAGCATGGCTTCATCATCTTCTGTGCTCCCCGCCATAGCGGAGGGGCACGTGCAGGCGCTGCCGGCTCCCGACAACATAAGCCCTATCGTCCGCGCAAACACTTGCAACATGTAGATCGAGAGTCCTCCTAGCCGAGCCAGGTCAAGAGCTAGGAGCTGCTCCTGCTGCCGTTGTTGTCGTTGTTAGCCATGCCCGGGGTCCTTTGTTGCCTGAGAAGTATGGGCTTTCGCAGAACTTGGGTTTCCGGCCCTTATGTTTAGAGTTTCCGTCTGTGACAATGACCAAACCTGGGAAGGCTCAGGATTCTGAACTGAACTGAACAATGAGGATTCGTGTGGCATCGACTCGGCAAGACCTAAAGCGATTGCATTACGCCTTTCCAGGATTCGGCAGGGGCGAAGCGCTTCATGTCAGAGCTCATGAACACACTGGCAGGAGCCTCGTTCAGGCTGGCTTCGATTGTCGAAGGTAGTGTGATGGACGCATTGAAGCCAACAGGCTTCTTCAGTTGCCAGCACAAGAACTGCTTCAATTTCAGTGTGGTGTTATCATTCCGGGTCGCTCGAGGGTGGCTCAGAACGGGGATTCGTAAACATTCCCAAGCACCTAAGCGCTTCGTACTTTTTTAGGTCCGGGCCCACATCGAGGACGGCCGCATCATAAGTGGCCAGCTGTGGTGCTTCGACCAGCTGAGGCCTGTGCTATTTTTCACACACTAGAGGCCGCAGTCTCGAAGGTTTTTGGGCCGCAAGACAACACACCGAGGGTTTTGCAGGCGTAGAGTTCAGGGTTTTGGCTTTGAGCTGGGAAGTTCTCAGGGAGAGGGTGGGGAAATTTTCGTGTCAGGCTGCGAGAGCTTTTCGCTTTCAGCTTTTGAAAATGGGAGGGATCATAGACTTAGAAGCTTGGTGTGCATTTATGCAGAAGCGCAGTGTCGTCACTTTTGTAATCCATCCATTATTGAAAAGAGCATTCACACGGGGTCGGATCTTGAAGGAAAGGCTGTGGAGTACTAAGGGCAAAGGATTCATCTCGGCTGGCAGCTTGCAGTGGCCAATCCGCCCAAATTGCTTGTGGGCTGGCAGAGTGCGTGGGCAACCCGCAGCAGCCTAGTACTGGGGCCAAACAGGCTGTGAAACAGGTGTGGGCTAGCCGCACGCAGGGGCCGCGCTGGCAGCGGACAGCGGTCTTATCATCACATTTTTCGATCTTAGACTTAGACGAGCAAGTATCATATTGCTTGAAACAACCATTTTCACACGGAGTGGCATCGTTTAGCGATTATAGACATGACAGCCCGCATATGTTTCGCAGCCTGTTTGGGCACAGTATAAGGCTGTTCCGGGTTGACGGGACGAACCCCTTTTGAGCGCGTTGTGGTCGCTGCGTGCTGTGGGGCAACAAGTCAACACCGCAACTGCGTGCTGATAGCCGGCATCAGGTAATTCGCCCAAGTCCGGTCTGGCATTATGGCCGCTGTAGCCGCTGTGAGCCCAAACAGGCGCCATGCCCAAACAGGCGACGAAACTGGTGCGGGCTGGCAGCACACCGGCCATAATGCGACCAAGCAGCGTGTAGGATCGTTGTTGAGTTTTACGGCATGTTGGGACTTGCGATTCGTGTTTTGTGGCTTGTTCCAATGCAGACAGCGCAGTATGCACCCCTGACCTCTATTCCAGCACGTGAGGCTATGAAGCCCAGCTTGGCAAGCCTCGTCGCTTGAGTTCGCCAACTCCCATGCACTGCGGGCCAGTGTTTGGTTGGAGAATGGCCTGCCGCTGCCAGCCGGTGTTTTGCAGCGTGTTTGGGCACTTGGCTGATGCGGTTGCCAGCCTGAACCTGTTTGACGCATTTTGGCCGCTGCGAGCTGGCCTGCTTGGGTATTATGGCTACTGGGGCTGCCAGCCTGCACCGTAAATTGCGGGCTCGCAGCGGCCGCGGTGCGGGCAAACACTGTGCTGGCTGGCAAATCGCAGCAATGCGCTCAAGCAAGTGCTATAAGGTTGTTGATCGTTGTTGAGATTTACGGCATGGCTTGCAGCTTGTGCTTTATAGCTTCTGCTACACTTGCCTGTTCCAGTGGGTACAGTGGGGTTTGCACTCCTGACCTCTCATCCGGAACTTGAGGTTATGAAGCCAAGCTGCCACCAAGAAGCTTGCTAACCCCCGCCCTGGACAGTAACCTTTGCAGGAATCTCATCCTCTTGAACGGTTTCGAGACTCGCACCGATCAGGCGAGAGCCGAATGAGTTTGCATAGTTCGCGGCAGTCGCACAAACACAAGTGTGCAATTGTAAACCGCAGCCTCTCAAGTCTTGCCCCACAGTGCCTCCGTTGAGTCAAGCCGCAAGGACGGACAGCAGCACCGGTCGTTGGGGCCATTGGTCATGGTGTGGGCCTCCTTGGCCATCATGAAAGTACAGGACGTCGTTACTGTCCCTGAGGTGCCAGGAAAATATATCCTGAAGCTGGAGTCCACCAAGGCGGCATGTGAGGTGGACGGCCGTCCTCGACCGCTTGTTGCTTTTCATGGCCTTGCTTTTTCAGGACCTGTAGGATTGTGGCCGGTTGCATATCCATGGACCGTCTAACAGTCTAATAGTAACTGTTTCTGTATATCCAAACACTTGCGAGGGAGCCTACGGGTTCAACTCGTGGTTACGGGTTCAACTCGTGGTCTTTGTTCCAGGCCGCGGCTGCGGCTACCGCCAAGGAGGCGGATGCAGCGAAGTGAGGAAGAGAAAAAGCGTGGAGGCAATGGGGGTGGAGAAGTGTAGGTCTGTCCTGATGCTCCATGCCTGAAGACTGCTGCAAAAGGTGAGGTTCACGTTGCTTCCGTTTCCGGTTGCTTTTCCTTCGTACCAGCTCCGGTCCGAAAGGCTGTTCTGCACTAGCCAGGATGGACCCAAAGCTCTCGCGATCACTTGTGACTGTCTTGTGGCGATTGCGGCTCTAAAGCTTTAGCTGGATCTCCATCCCTCTCCCCGGGGCGCTGTGTGGCCCTTGGCGACCTGGGGTTAAATAAATCGCGCAGTTGCCACAGGTGTTAGCTTAAAGCCCTGAAACTCTTGAAGCCTCAGGCCAAAAGCAATAATTCTGACAACCCAAGCCGAGCACTAAGGGTCAATGACTTCGGGCTCAGGATGTAAGTTCTTTCCATCTTCATAACAGGGCCAAGTGTCGTGGGATGGTGACTCGGCTTAAGGTCTGGAGTCGTATTGTGAACAGGGTTCTAGTTTCATCGGTGTGGTTCCCGATTTGCAGTAGACTTAGGCACATCCAGTTTCTTCCAGGAGTGCGTTTCTGTGTGAAGCTATGCTTGATGCCTCTGGGGTTGGGCCAAGGACCTGTGGTCGGATCGTCAACACGGGCTAATCCGGTCTGTCGTCACTGTAGACAAGATGCCAACAACGCCAACAACGGCCGTCATGAAAGTGTGGGCACAGGCCTGGAGCTGGCAGCCGCAGACCCTGAACACCCGTGAACCCTGCAACTCCAGCATCTACACAGTGTGCGAGCTCGCGGGATTGACCAAAGTCCGCAGCACAGCCTTACTACCGAGGTGCCCGCTTGGGGCCATGGATGGCGAGGACGTGTGAGGGTACTCGCGGTTGAGGTGTAAAGGGGGGTTGTGATTTTCAGAGTTTGGGCATGTGGTTGGGAATTCTTGACGGTTATTTGTGATAACAACTCATTGTGAAAGCCTGTTGAAGACCCAAAGCCAGCAAACCTTGATACCCTGCCCGAACAGTGAGACGGCAAGATGAAGGTGCTATGCCTTGGCGGCTTCAGCTTGAGGCACTTGGGTTCCGGTGTAGGAAACCGGAGTAGGCCGACTAGGCTTTGGCAAATTCTATGGTTGCTTGGCTTCTTTTTGGCGTGTGCAGGAGACCAGCCAGCCGGTGGCCGCGTGCAGAGCCCAGGGCAATCTGAGGACACTTGTTGCTCAAGTGCTTCAGAGCGAACCTGACCGGTCAGTACTAAACCTGAAATCATAAGTCCTGTCGAAGGTTCTCGGCTCATTGGTTCAAGTTCTTAGGGAATTGGACAGCCCTAACTTCTGTGTTGCAGGCAGAGTGGGGGTGTACGGCCCACAATACATTTGCTGGGTTCGACGTGTGTTTCACAGGGGCCGTGTCCATGCACCGGCTATTTCTATCACTATAGCGCGCAGAGGAGGCTGGAAGTCGTCTTACCCCATGACTGGTTCACAAGTGCTTTTCTGGTTAGAGGCCCCCCCAACGAAACACGATAAGTGCTGGGGGAGCAACGAGCACGGGGAAATTCAAGCGAGGTTTCCGTGGATTTCTTGAGTCTGATGGTTCGGTGGCCTAGCTGATCTTAGACACACACTCTGGGAGTAGGCCTCTGCTCGAGAAAGCAAGAATGTGGTGCGAGTAGGGGCCACGCCAACAGATAGAAAGTTTCAAGTACGCTCCACTTGTCGGAAAGGGTGTGGAGCTGTTCGTCAAGTCTGTCATCCCTGGGTCGAGTCTCAGAGTGGATGCTGATCAAAAGGGTTGAA